AACAGGTTGACCAAGAATTCACAACCAGCAAGTGAAGGAGCTGGGCAGATCGGCTCCTGATCTGTAGGTCTTAGGCAGGCTGACCCAGACAGATCTGGAGGGATCAGGACCCATGAGGAAAGACAGTCCTGACCTAGGATCCCAACCAAATATAGGGCACTCTATCAAGGCCCCTGAAGGTTTCCAGTTTTGCCTCAGATGAGCTCTGATATCATAGAAAAGAAATTCCTTCCTTATGCCTTTCTTAGGAAGACTGTATCATTGGTGTTTTAGATTTTAGAAAACAGGATTACTTCTCATGTGCCAGCTAGCATGCACAGTTAACACCCAAAGCCTTAAGAGCTGAATATCAGTCTCTCTGAAGTTGTTATTCAGTCAACTAAAGTGAGCGTCGTTTTCGAAAGTTGTGGTTTAAAGCTTTGTTTGAAACTTCTAGTTGCAAATTATATTGCTACAGTCAAATGCACAAGCATAGATTCCTTCCAAATATAGACAAACTGAAAATAGAAATCTGGAGACATATAAACCATTTGGCATTCTAAATAAAAGATTAGACTGAGGAAAAATATTAATTGGGGAACTCTTCTTTCATTGAACTAAGTGAAACAAAATTTCCATCTGAAATCACTTCTCTCAGCATAATACCACTTACTATACCATATTAATAATCCATGTGGAATTTATAGTATATATTATACAATCAGGATGAAAAAAAATTATTATTTATTTATTCATTTATTTATTTATTGCCTGCTTCACCCAAGCTTAGGAAAAAATCACTTGATTCCTCTAAAGAAGTCTGTCAGTTTCAAAAGCTGATGCAAACAGGTACAGAATCCTTTAATCATCTCCTATAGGCCCACATAATTCTTTGACGGTCAGTATCACTAAAGTTAGGGAACTTCACCACAGCCTTGTTTGCTAGCTAGAGCAGGCAGGTCATTACTGCTGCCCTTAGTGGTATGATTTTGTCTATGAAACAAACATCTAGTAAACATTTTCTATGTATCAGACTTTGCCCTAGAGCAGTGATGGCAAATATGTTTAGAGCCCAAGTGCCCAAAATGCAACTCCAAACCCACTTATTTATCACGAAGTGCCAACACTACAATTAAACCTGAATACTGAGGGGCCAACCAAAGAGCTCAGTGGATGAAAACACCTGCAAGCAGGTGCAGGGGCCAGGGTTCCTAGGTCTAGCATGCCAACCCTGCCCCCGGGGCATGCTGAGACTCTGGTGTGCCTGTAATCCAGCTCTTGGGAGGCTGTAAAGAGGCGGATCACTACAAGTCTGATCTAGTAGTGAGATCCTGAACACCCTGTAGACCCTTCCCTAAAAAATACAAAAAAAAATTTTAAGAAATTTTAAAAACCCTGAACACTGAGGTTTTTAGCTTAGAAAAAAACAACCATTACCTGATACTTGTCTGCCAGGGTAACTTGGCTCCTGTGTTGACAGAAAGGGGTCCATGTGCCCACAGCAGCACCCATGGCACACATTCTACTACTGTCCTAGAGGTTAGAGGTAGCAGTGTTAGACAAAAGAGTCTAGGTCCTGCCCCATTATAGCATAGTTTTTTAAATTTAATTTAATTTAATTCTGTAAAGTATATTATAAC